TTAAATGAAAGCAATAAAAAGTCTGCTACTGTATTTATATAAAAATTATACGAGTAGTAATATATTGCAGTCTGCTACTGTTTTAAATTGTCAAAAAAAAGGAAAAAATATACCAATTTTTTTGTATTAATAAAAGAATAAAAATCTAGAAATCGCTAGATTTTTTTAGCGGGTGGAAGCTCCGCTAAATATAGTATATCACTAAAATGTCGCTCCTATCTTGCAGTTAAAATATGCTACAGTGCCCAATTTCAAATCTCTATAATGTTTTTGAGTTCTAAATGAGTTCTAAATGAATTCTAAAATGAGGGCTTCAGCAAATAAAATTCATTAAAACAAAGTAAAATGCCATATATTGAAAATGAAAAACTATTCAGAAAATTAAAAGAATATTTTAGCAAAATTAAAAGAATATTTTTGCATTTTGCAACAAAAAATATTGACCGTAAATTAAAAAAAAAAATGAATATTATTAAATCCAAATCTTTAAAGTACATTCTCTTTAATGTTTCCCATAATTATATTACCAATTTCCTCATATTCATTATTTTAATAGCTATATATATATATATATAGCTATTTAATGATTTTTACTCTTTTTCTAAATTTTTGTAGTAATATATTATGGTAACATGTATATTAAAAAGTAAAAGCTTTTCAGTCGGTATAAACCAATTGAAATATACACTGCACCTTTCATTGTTGTATAGCAAATACTCGAACATATGTGAAACCATTCTATAAAAACTTCACCGATATGTCTGACTTATAATTGCATGCACGACTAACAATTTTCATGTATCACACTTTATTATTTTTCCAAATATTTAAAATTAGCTTTTCGAGTTGTATGACAGCTACCCGAGCCTGTCAAGAAATTCTACCGAAACTTCAGAAATATATCTGAGCTATAATTGTATACACGACTGCCAGGTTTCAAGAATATGGTTTTATTATTTTTTCAGATATTTAAAATTAGCTTTTGGAGTTGTATGGCAGCTACCAAAACCTGTTAAACAATTCAAGAATATATCTGGCCTATAGTTTGAGCACACGACTGTTTCATAAATCTGACTTTATTATTTTTCTAAATATTTAAAATTAGCTTTTGGAGTTGTATGATAACTAATCGAGCCTGTCAAGAAATTCTACCGAAACTTCAGGAATATATCTGAGTTATAATTTTATACACAACTGCCAGGTTTCATGAATATGATTTTATTATTTTTTCAGATATTTAAAATTAGCTTTTGGAATTATATGGCAGCTACCCAAACCTGTTAAACAATTCAACCAAAACTTCAGGAATACATCTGACCTATAATTGGACACACGGCTGCCAAGTTTTATGAATCTAGCTTTATTATTTTTCCGAATATATAAAATTTGCTTTTGGAGTTGTATGGCAGACACGCAAACCAGTGCAGCTATCCCATTTAGAGCATATTTAAAATGTAATTGGACACACGTATACAAAACTTAATGTTTATACCTTTATTAGTTTTTGAAATATTTAAAATAAACTCTTTGAGTTGTATGGCAGCTACCCGAACCCGTTGTCCGAATTAGTCCAATAGGGTTCGTCCTTGACACAAGAGAAACAACTTGCAAAAGTTTAGTGTCGATTGCATTATTCGTTTTTGAGTTATCGTGCGATCGAGCCGACGGGCGGACGGACGGATATGGCTAAATGAACGCAGACTTTTTCGCTGAGCAAGAATATGTTAATATGTCCATACCGCAGATGACTCGTTCAAGTGGTTACAAACGCCATAATAAAGTTAATATTCCCTTCAAAAGGGGATTAGTGTAATAAAACAATATGCAAATACTTTTCAAAAGGAAGTATTTTTATTTGTTTGTGAAACTTTTCAAATATTGAAATATTGAATAGCTTCCTTATAATCGCTGTTCTTATTTTCTTGGTTGAGAGTAAGGCGACTTTAGAAAATTGCAATCATAACGAAAAGTGAAGATTTGGTATGTACAAGAGCAGAATTTAAATTGTATGCACATTTACAGTTTTCTTTTGTAAGTGCTTATTAGTTTCACTCTGACCGTCCGTCCGTCTGTGTGGCTGTTCACAAAAATTCTACATCCTTGTAGATAGAAAGCTAAAATTTTATATGTATATAGATCATTTCTAAAAACTTATTTCCATACAACAAAATATTCACCTATCTCTCCCCCTCTAAAAGTTATACCCCTCTAAAATCCTAAAAATGGTATATTTTAACCACTTATTGCAGTGGAACCATAAGACTGTTTCAAATTTTGTAAAAGCATAAAAGTAGTAGCAGGCTTCTTCTATTGCAGCATGCCATTTCTGGACTATAAAGAAACTAAATGGCCGTTAAAATTTACCTTTATCTAAAATCTGTTTTTCCCAAATTTTTGATACCGTTTTTCTTTTGAACCGTACGTTACAGGAATCTGAAATTTTACCAGCTCTTAGATATTCGTTGAAAGAAAATTTTTTCCCATCACCATCCCCGCTCAAGTTATCAGCTCTCGAAATTTTTAAAATTTGAATAATTGTCATTCTTTATTTCCGAAACAGCCTTCTTTACAGTGATAAATAAATAGTTACAGTGAAACTATAAACATTTTACAAATTGTGCAAAAGCAGAAAGCCAGTGGATTGCTTCTCCTATCGCGGTATACTATAGTTAAACTGTAAAAAAAAAAACCGTTTAAATTTAGCGTTACCTAAAATCGGTTTTTTCAAATTTTTGATCTTGTTTTTTTTTTAGACCCCAAGTTGTGGGAGCCTGAAATTTTAGTAGCTCTTAGGCACTTACAAACAGTTTATTTCGTTAGAAGAAAATTTTTTTCCATCTCCACCCTCTCTCAAGTTATTGCCTCTTGAAATTTGTAAAATTTGAATTTTTGACGCCTTATATTTACGAAACCGCAAGCTTTTTCAAATTTTTATAAACGCAAAAAAACTAACGGTAAAATCCATGACATTAAAAAATATAATTATTTTTTTTAGCTCACGCAATTAACTTTTGAAATCGAGCATTATATTAACCCCTCTTTAAATTAATTTTTGCTTTATTTCGAAGACTGCATAAATCCTTCATCCTAAATATATGCAATTCTAGAAATGGTTTCGTTTATGAGTGAAAATAGTTTAAATAGTGTGGTAGGTCTACTTAGACTGTATTTTAAAGCAGTATTTTCACTTGTTGAAGGGAAAATGTGCTACAATACAAACCATTGGTTTGATCCAACTTTACTAGTTTATTATTTCTGAAAACCTTTCCTGCAGAAGGAATTTTTTCCCAAAAAATTTTTACAGACAGTAATTTTTACAGACAGTCTGTATGGTGTAGACTATACATATGCGTATATGTTTGTTACGAATCTGCTGGTTTTTAAAATTAAGCATAATAAAAATAAAATAAAGCTTTTTCAATGTAAAATAAATAATATTTATTTAACAAATTAAAAGTTATTAAACATGTTATATGTATATAATGTATTTACCAAACAAAAAACCAAGCTTTTGAATTGAACTTTTTTAATCTGGACTCTCACATTATATATATATATAATACATCAATTTCATTTTGTTATTAATATAACATTTACGGTGATGTACACATGAGTATGTAAAAAAATAAATTAGATAGCAGAATTTTACAGAACTACTTTCAAAAGCCATATGAATTTGCGTTTCCTTATAGGTAGTAGTTTAATGAGCATATTATATTGAATATGTATATACTTATGTGCACTTTTAATTATTTCCATCTAAGAAATACACACATGCACATATGCTAATATTGAAATATTGAAGCACTTGTAAATGTAAATAATATCCTCTCAGCTTTGCTTACATCGTTTTGTGAAATATTACTCTACGTAATTATATTTTAGTATGAAACTAATAAAAATTTTAGTTAAACTTCAATACGAAAATATATTTCTCTATGTATACTTATGTATATTTGTACATTCGATAGCATTACAAAATCTGCACTAACACTAAACAATATATCAGTTGCAGATCCTTTCTGTATGTACTTTATGGGATATAAGTATTTGCAAAAGAAAATAAAAGCAGAATAAGGTTTAGAATATTTACAGAGACTTATCGGCAAAATGTTTATTTTATATGTGATAAGAAAAAAAAATAATAAAAGGAAGAAAAGTTAAAGAATTTTAACTGCATTATCTGCACTACTTTCGCCTTTTACGTGTTACAGGGTATGCGTGCGTCTATTTTTCGAAATTTTTATGTATATTTGCAATAAGAAGATACATAGAAACCTTCATATAATAGAATAATTAGTACATAATATATGTATACTTTATACAAAATTTTATACCTATATATATAATTATTTATATATTATTATGCGAATTTACCGTAAAATAAAAAAAAAATCAAACAAACAAATTTTTATCAGCAGTTTGTTTTTGAATCTACATATTTATCTCTCCGTTTTAACAAACAGTCAAAGTTTTACAGCCGTTTTAACAACAGCGCTCTGTAATGTAGGTATTAAATAAATCGCGGTTCTTAATAAATAATAAGAGAAAAGTAAAACTTTTTTTAATCAAATAGTAGCAAAATTCTAAATTTATTAGTGCGCTTTTTGCTTTATCCTTTTTTTTAATCATAGTTTTATTTATATATTTATATATATATATACATATGTATATATATATATATATATATATATATATATATATATCAATGTATATATTTTTAAAAATTCATTTTAGAATAAATAACTCTAATTTTTCTAATTGTGATTCTTAAAAAGTAAAATAAATAAAAAACTTATAAAAAGGATGAAATAAAATTTAATGAAAATTGAAAACACTTCAACGTTTACTTTCCACTAATATATATATATATATATATATATATATATATATATATATATATATATATATATATGTATAAATATATATATACATATATAATTATACATATTTATAATTAGCACAAAAATTTCCTCCTGCAAAAAAGTTCTTTATACACACTTATGTATATCACAAATTGGTATTTAGTAACATAAATGCCAGATTATGTATTTATATATCTATATTACTATTTCATGAAATATCAAAATACGTATACCATTTTTGGAAAGTGTGAAATAATTATGTGATTTATATTTAGAATGTATGATTATACTTAGCATTAATAAAAGACACTTTTTTTATTCTTTTTTTTCGAAAAAATAATGTCATAATTTTATTTAAACACACACAAATGTTAATATTTATTTGGTGAACTTCATAATTTAAAAAGTTTACAATTGTTTTGTTGAAGTAAATAATAATTTTTCAAAATTCAAAGCAAAAAAAGAAAAAAAAATTAAGCAAATAAAAAAAAAATAAAATTGAAGAATTAAAAAGAAAAAAAAGGTAAAAATTAAAACATTAAATTAGAAAACATTTTTTTCGCTATTTCTTCATATTTAAACACACTCTGGCCTACATATAGTACACATAACATATGTATATTTATTTATATAAGTACACCCATATCAATATGTTCACTCATTACATATAAAAATAGCCACACATATGTATATTAAGCGCAGTTTATATTTCACATGAAACGAAAAGTAAAACAAAAAAGAAATTATTTACATAATTTTTATCGATTTCCAAAAAAAAATGCTCGTGTTTAAGTTAATGGTATGTTTCGAAAACGCGAACTTGAGTACATGAATAACTGAGGAAAATATGTGATTTTTTCCATATATATGATTACGATAATGATATTTATTATATTTATGTGAAATATAATAGTAGCTTTAAATGAAAGATATACAATCAAGCGCCAAGCTACAAGCATTTATTATATATAAAAATATGCTAAAGAAAAGTTTAAAATTACCATAAGTATCGAGAATTGGAAATGAAAAAAATTATATTTTTAATTGGAAAATAGCTATTTAAAATATTTTATTATAAAGCTTTATGTCAATGAAAAATTTATATTCAAAAAAGAAAAAACTAAATAAGTTCTATTTTTATATAACTCAAATAACTTATACTATGCTAAATACGATAAAAGTTATTGTTTTCTTAAATATCACTAAAAATTGTCAAAGAGTTAAGATCTTCATTAATTTTAATATACCATTACATTACAAAAATCGTTTATTAAATAATATTGAACTTATAGTTTTTTATTGAAAAATTGTAGAAAATTTCCGTTTTCGTTACATTATTTTTTGTTGTTTTTTATATGATGCAAATATTTTAATTTCTTTTAATCCATTATAAATTTTTTTTTTTGAATATAGACCTACAGATTATTCTTTAACGCCGTGGAAAGATCAATAGATGCCTTGCACTAAAATATTTTTACTCCATGAAAATGAAAAAAGTACAAAAATGGAAATAAAATTATAAAATCAATTACATTGCATAACACTTATATGTGTACGATTTTTTTAAATCATAAAGCCACTTCAAAATTTCTATAATGGAAAGCGGCGTAAAACAAAATATATTCAACTTAAATTATACTCAAGGATATTTTGAACAATTTAACTAAATTGCCTTTTTAATTGGAAAGGAATAAAATTTCACACACTACTTATTTACATACATATATGCTTAGATATTTTTACAAATGTACAAACACACATTTGAAAAGGACACAAAAATTTATATAAATTAGACGTCAACACTATCATGTTGCTCATAAAAACATCATAGATTTAATGCTTCCAGTGAGAGAAAAAAAATTAAAACAAGATAAAAAAATTGAAGCGAAAAGTTTTTTATGGAAAAGTTTTAAAGCTTTGTTTTAAAATTAAATTATTTAATGATATTGTTAAATGTAATTACTTTATTCAAACGATAAAATAAATCACATAATATGCAAGTAGCAGAAGTCTTCTGCATTTAGCAGAAAACTGTTAAAAAAGAAAAATGTTATAATTGCAGAATACTAGTATAATGAAAAAATCATAATAATGAAACAAAAGTTAAAGTATTTTGAATGTAACCTGGTGAACCACCACAATTCCAATTTTTTAACAAAAACTGTAAAAAAAATTAAAAAATATTTTAAAACTATGTAATTAAAACAATTTGATAATTTGAAAATGCGAAGAAAATGTTATGTTAGAATAAAAAAATATATAATATGTTATATAAATATACGTATATAGAATATTTATATATATAATGTTTATGTATAATAAAGTTTCAAATATTCGAATATAAAGAGTTTAAAATATTATCACATAATAAAATAGCAACATTAGCGAACGACTTATCAGGATATTCAGTATTTTCTTCTAAAATAAAGTAATAAATCGGAATAATGCCACTACTATAATTGCATTGGTTAAAAATTTGCATAGTACACATATTATCGGTAGACATCGAAGGTGTTTCAATTAAGAATACGATTAAAAAATTTGATTGTTACTCATAAATTTTTTAATTTTTATATCCCAATACAAATACAATGTTAACGAGGTATATAAATTATAAATAAAATTTTAGCAAATATAGAGTTATATATTCTTATAGATTATGTCATACAATTGTTGTCTAACTTCGATTTCATGTCTGTTTACTGTGATTTAATTCACACAAGATAAGCCCAAAATGCTCTCATTGATTTGGGGAGGTCATTCAATTAATATAAATCTGATCATATATAATAAGATATAACACAAATCTTTGAGTTACAGCTTATACCAAATTCTGCTTTATTACGTATAAAAAGATTTTTAAAGAAATCTTATGAAAATTCTACAAAATTAATCTCCCCAAAGTAAGTATTTTGCAATAAACTATTAAATTAAATCAAAGCATGACGGATGGTCATTCAAAAAGTTTTGATTTTTTTCACAAAACAGAATGATAAACCTAATAAATACTAGAATATGAAAATAAAAAAAGATACAAGGGAATAAAATTATAATTGTGTAAGTCTTCTCTTTTTTAGTCATAAGAGGTGTTATAAATTTTTAATTGGACATAGCGTGTTAATTTTTAAATCTATAAGAAGAGAAATAAATATTAAATTGAATCGAAACCCATATTACAATCTATACGTTATTATGCACCAAAATTCAAAGAATAAACTTAAAAAATTTAATTTATATTAGATAATAAGTATTCAAACATATTAATCCTTATACTCTGGGTACCAATTTCTGTGTCTAGTCTTTCAGGATAGCCCCTCTTAAATTTTTCGGCTCAGTTCAATGATTACTATGTTGATATAACATGTTTTCAAATATACACGTATTTGGTAGTCGTTCAGCTTTCCAATTCTCGCTGAGTAAAAATTTTTGTCTTGCTAATATAAATTTAAAGGTGTTTCTTAAGTAAGTACTTCATTATGTTCACGCTTTTGAAAATTTTTTTAGGCAAGTTTTTGAAACTTTTTTAAAACATATTTTTAAGGGGTGAAAATCGTAAAAGATCAGTTCAGGTAACCAAGCGGAGGTACTAAAATCATACAATCTAGTTCAAAATATAATCTAGTACACAAATCATATAATTTACTTTTTAAAAATACTTGAAGACGACCAAAATTTAATTTGTTTTGAATATTCCAAATATAAATCTAAACTCACCCGAGTTGTTATTTTTAAAGTAAACTTAACAAAGTTGTCACTTTCAATTAGTCGAAAACCTTCAATGTTGACCTGTTGCGATAAACGAATTTTATGACTTACTTCTGTGATCCCGTGTATCGCAGCACAACAGCTCGTGAGGTTTCAATATTTATTTCAATATTTTATTGTATATCGAATAAAATTTGAGGACAAACGCTTTGAAAGATAACAGTCTTTGGTCAGCTGAAATTCAGACCATATAACGCAAATGATAATTAAAGTACAGTATGCTTATAGTCAAAAATAGCCGAACTTGTGTCAAAATTAATAAAAATGTAACGGTTATGTACGTTTTTATTGCTTTAATTGCTATTTATGTTATATTTTAAAACTGTATAGGTAGAACATAAATTTAATAGAACTCTTCCAAACCTTTTCCCCCTATACATTATTTGAACATAAATTATCAGTTTTTTACAGACCCCCTTCGAAAACATTTTGTGGTTCAGAAAAGTTTACAACCACATACGTTATACCACTGATTAGAGAATTAAAAATATGGAAAACTCAGAATTCAGAATGTATGCTAAATGTCAGGGCTTTTCACGAATTTCATGAAATTGCTGTTTGCCCAAGTTTAGTAGCTTTTAGAAAAGTTGAAACATTTTTGAGAGGACTTTGAAAAGTTCCAATTTTTTCCATTTTGTATTGGTATACCCTGCACTTCGTGAAGGTATGGACATATGTATATATTCTTGCTCAGCGTAAAATTCTGCGTTGATTTAGACATGTCCGTCCGTTCGTTCTTCCGATCGCACGATAACTCAAAAACGAATAATGCAATCGACACCTAACTTTCACAAGTTGTTTCTTTTGTGCCAAGGACGAGCCCTATTATAATTGGACTAATTTGGACAACGGGTTCGGGTAGCTGCCATACAACTCCAGGAGCTAATTTTAAATATTTGGAAAAATAATAAAGTCAGATTCATGAAACTTGGTAGTCGTGTGTCCAATTATAGATCAGACATATTTCTGAAGTTTTGGTGGAATTGCTTGACAGGTTCTAGTAGCTCCCATACAAGTCCAAAAGCTTGGTTTAAATATTTGGAAAAGTAATAAAGACAGATTCATGAAGCTTGGCAGTTGTGTGTCCATTTATAGTTCAGACATATCCCAGAAGTTTCTATAGAATGGTTTCACAGGTTGGAGTAATTGCTATACAACAACGAAAGGTGCAAGATATAATTCAATCGGTTTATACCGACTGAAAGTTTTTGCTTGTTTTATTCTTCTTTATTCCGGCAATTTGGTATGAAATTTTCTGAAACTTTTAACCTTTTCTACAAAGGTTCGTAAAATTTCGTAAGATTTAAGTAAATTTTAAGTCATCACTAAAAATAAAAACTCAAAACATAAAAATATACATAACATAATAAAAAGTAAAAACTCAAACAATTGATACTTCTTTTGCTTTTCGTCAATTTCAAGTTTTATAATTATAAATTATTATTACTTTCTTTCAAAATAATCAGTCTAAAAGTTTCAAGCAAAATTAATTTGACAAAAACAACTAATTTCAAGTTTTTATTTAAAAACAATAATTTTATTTATTGTATTACTCGCGTTGTATTGTCATAACCATTTTTTTCTTTATTTACTTTTTTATATGGTTCAAATGTCAAAAATTTTATAAATAAAAACGAAAAAAAATAGCCGTAGAACTCTGTGATACCCTTAAAAATTTGTTTTCTTATGTGCGAGTAAATATCCCATAACTGACTGTGGGTTCCCACACCAGTAAATATCCCATAACAAACTATGACTTTAAGTTGCCGTATTACCATAATAATTTATGCAAAATTTTAGTACTGTATTCTCAATATTTTCTAAGATGGTCAAATTACTACTGAAGTTGTATGGCAGCTACCACAAGGAGTCAAGAAATTTCAACGATTTTGATCACACATAACAGCCCTAATATTAAACTTGTTTTCACAAAATATCTATAATATATAACTGCAATAATTTCTGAGAAAGTGCCAAACAACTTTTGGAGTTGTGTGGCAGCTATCACAAGTTCGCATGAGATCTCAACAACTTTTAATGAATATAGTTGCAATTTTACTATATTTTATTTTGCAAAATTTCAGTACTATATATTGACATGTTCTCAAATTATTATCAAACTGTGCTACCAGTAGAAGTCAAGCAATTTCAACGATTTCTATTAAACACATTGGTTCTACTAATACATTCGCTTATGCGAAATATCAATACCACAGCTTTTGTAGTTTCTGAGATATAGCCAAATAACTTTAGATGGTGTATGGCAGCTCCCAGAAGAAGTCAAGCAATTTCAATTACTCTTATCAGACACAGTGGCCCTACAAATACCAGTACCTCGAACATACGTTCGTGGGGGTATAAAGATATTTCAAATATTGTAATAAAATTTCAAAATAACTCCGAAACCAAGCGATCAATATGATGCAAATCAAAAATACAATCTCCATTTACCTAAAATCTAAGAATTTATTTAAGGTAAAAGTACTGACTTTTAACTACTCATAAGCAGTTTGAACTTGAAAATAGTTTGAAAATCAACATGTAATAAACATTGCCTAGAAATATAATGTATATTTACATATTATGTAAACCGCCACGAGGTTCGTTAATATAGAAATAAAATTTATGAAGCTGTGTCCCAGAAATTAAATTTCCCAAGTGTTATGTTGGTGGCTTAATAATAAAAAAGATATTTGTCATGTTTTTATAAACCACTTTTATTAAATTTCCAAAAACTGTTATTGGCATCTGTTATAAAATAATTAAAAAAAAAATTTTATATAATTAATTGTTATATAATAAATTATTTAAAATATTGATTGATAGCTTATTATTTATTTAAAACTTTTATTTTAAATTTTAATATAATTAGAAATTAAAAATTATATTTACTGATAGCATACAAATAAAAAGGGATATTCCTGCTGAAGAATGTTGTAAAAGAAAACCATTCGCTAATAATAGTTTAGTTTTCGGAATGGAAATTAAGGTGAACCTTTTCATTGGACTCCTAGAAAATCTTTTTATTGTACTTCTACAAAACTACTTGTAGCTCACAAACGGAAATTGAAAAACCATAAAACCTACCTGGCAGAACGCTAGGTTATTCGAAAAAGTAAATATCCGCATTCCTAGTAATAAGAATGGTAAACTCAGGTAATACGTAGATTACCACGTTTTGTTTCGACGCTCCACATATAAACCAAAGTATATCTCTTTTTAGAAGTAGTTCGACTCTCCGTTCAGATCACACTACACTAATGCAATCACTCACTAATATTTGTATACAAAAAATTCCTTTAGCTAATAGAGATAAGCAGTATACCTTCTTATTTTCGTTTTTATGCACATAGAAATTTCTGGAAGAGGGAAAGAGCACGCAATAGATATCTACCTGTTTTTTATAATAAATTTTTAAAAGCGCGAGTGTCTTATTTTTTGATATATAAAGTATAGGAAAAAATATTAAGAATTTTAAAAGCGGGAGTTTCATTTCAGTACAAGGTGGCTAAAAATAGTGCATCCATATTATAAAAGCGAAGCGATTTAAAAAAAATCTGTTGTGGTCAGCACCGACCGTGCATTTTCTAGTTAAGTGAAAGTGTTACAGAACATTTTAAAAATGCCTGTTAAATACTTTTTTCCAATTTTTAGGGCATTAGTAAGCTTATAGTTAACATACCTAAAAAAATGTAAATTTGTCTCTTCGTAGAGTTTCGCTTTGTGCTACCCGAATTCCTTGAAATGCTCGTCAGTTTGTTTCGGTAACAACCAGAATTCAAATATCAAACTTCAAAAAATTCCACCAATTCGCTCCGTAGATATGGTGAAAAATGT